AGGGAGCAGTGAGTCATTAGCAGGAATCTGCTAGGTTTTTTTCTGGGAAAGATTTAGCACTTAGGATGAAAGAAACAGATGAAGCTGCCCTGCTGCTTCTCCCTTCTTCCTTCTCTCTGCCTTAAATAGAAATGAGATTTCTGGATTTGAGACAAATATCTTGTGACTGTGATGGAAAAAGTCCGGGAAAACTCTAAGGAAACTTGGGAGAGGGCACTCAGACATAACTGAGTTGCTGAGTGCACCCCAGCAGCCCCCTGCCTCAAGTCTTTCGTAGTGAGAAAAAGAAATCTGTATTTTTCATCCAAGGTTAACATCGTTTCTTGTAGCTAAAAACGTTCATCTTTGATTCAGAAATATAAAAAGAAAGACAGACCCTGAAAGGATGAAATTAATAAGAGATTGGTTAAAAAGGTCAAGAATTGAAAAGCTGAGTGTACTGGTCCAGAAAGATGGTGGCATGATGATACAGTAGAGACATCTTGTGGGTGACATAAATCTCGTTGGAGCATATTGATCCCAAGGTACATATAGGACATCCAGATGTAGTGGGAAGATGCAGGCTATTTCCTATTGTATGAGTAGCCTGGAGTCTGCACTTGACAGTGATAGCTGAATTATGGCAGCAGTTAAGAATCACTAGAGATAGTAATACCAGGGACAATCAGAAATATCTACAATTAGTGGGTGTAGGAAAGAAGTTCCTAGTAGAAACAAGTAATAGAGTATGAAAAATATAGAAACATGGAAGTAAGGAAGAGCTCCAAAAAGATGGGTTGGCACACCTTTATCTTCAAAGAGACATCTTCAAACTGATGTCTCTTGCTACATGATGGCCCTCCCTTGTGATTGAGCTCTCTAATCTGTTTTCCTTGGCTTCCCCCACTTGCTACAATCTCAGGCCTCCTCAGTTAAGAAAAGCCTCAGTATATTAAATTAATTGTGTGAATCAAAGTCATACTATCAATTGTTCTTTTTATTGATTAGTTTTCTTCCTTGATGATCACTGGAAATCTTGTATTTTCTCTCTCCTTCAAAATCAATTTCTATACCACCTACAATCAAATTAGGAAAAGAAGGATAACCATATAGGAAAATGGGCAAGACACTTGAACAAGCATTTCATAAGATATACAGAAAGATATACAGAAAGCCAATAAATATTGGAAGATTCTCAATCTTATCAATAATCACGGAATTGCAAAATAAAACTGCCATGCATTACCACTGCAAACTACTTAGAACAACTAAAATTATAAAGACTGAAAATAGTAACTATTGGTGAGGCTTTAGTGAAACATTCTAATACATGCTAGTAGAAGAACAAGTGTTTGAAGGATTGGCATTATTGATTAGAAATATACAAATACCTTATGGTCCAGGAATTCTACTTCTAGGTATATACTTAACAGAAAAGTGTATGAATGTGTACTCCCCCAAAATGTATGTGAATATTTAGAGTAGCATGGATTATTATATTAATAGTTCTCAATTGAAAATAAAATCCAAATATCTACCCCCAATAAAATGGAAAAAAAATTGTGATCTATTTCATACTATGTATAAATACACTGAAATAAAAACAAAAACAAACAAAAGTACTGCTAGATATCGCATGAATGAATCTCACACATATAAAAGTCAGCAAACAAGTCAAACACAAAACAAAGTTTATAAAAGATGAGCATCTAAAATCCCAAATTCAGAAATCTGAAAGGCTCCAAAATCCAAAACTTTTGAACACTGACAGAATGCTCAAAGAATAAAAATTTCATTGGAGCACTTGAGATTTCCAGATTTGGTGTGTTCAAGCAGTAAGTATAATGTAAATATTCCAAAATCCAAAAATATCCAAAACACTTCTAGTCCTAAGTATCTCAGGTAAGAAATACTCAACCTGCATATGCCTTCGTATAACATTCAAAACTAGACAAAATAATGCATTTATATAAAGTTCAAAATGGACAAAGCTGACTATGTGGTTAGAAGTCAGGGGAATTGTAAATTTGAAAGAGGGATGCTATGGTCTAAAGGTTGGTCTCCCCAGACCCCAATTTTATATGTTACAACCTTATACCCAATGTGACAATATTAGGAGGTCAGGGCTTTGGAAGTGATTAAGTCATGATGAAGTGATTCCTCATGAATGGAATTAGTCCCTTTGTATTAGAGGTTCTAGACAGCTCCCTTAGCCCTTCTGCCATGTGAGGAAGGGCAAAGCAACAAGGCATCATCTGTGAAACAAATAGCAGCCCTAAGCAGACACCAAGTCTGCTGGCATCTTGATCTTGCACTTCCCAGGCTACAGAACTGTGAGCAATATATTTATGTTGTGTTTACATTACCCAGTTTAACGTATTTTGTTAGAGCAGCCCAAGTGAACAGAGACAGAAGGTAACAGGTACTATTTGGAAGAAGACACAATTGAGGATTCTGAGTGTTGGAAATACTTTTTTTCTTGATAGGGGTGATGGTTATAAGGCCTCAGAATCACCCATGAAGCTATTTGCTTATGATTCATGCTGTTTTTGGTACACATACATTTCTTAAATTAAAATATTTATCACGATTTCTGTTTCTTCTTCCTTATACATGACTATGAAGATTTTACTTCAGAATCTCCTGATTGACTCTCATTGCTCCATCCCACCATCATTTTGTATTCCCACCATGCTTTATTTCTGAAAACTTGTTTTTGCCTCACATTTCCAAATCTACCAGTGACCATGTTATGCCCTTTGTTCCTAGAATTTCCTATCTCTTTCTTGATTGACACCTTTAATTTCTTCTCTGCCTCTCTCTTCAGCTTTATTCATAGATGACTAGACCACCCAAGAGACCTATCGAAGTCTACATTTCAAAGAACTTTGCCTCACCTCGGTTGATAGTAGGAGGAACTGTATAGGAAGAGGGTAAAAATTTGTTAGAATAATCTTGATAATGGATAAATCTACATCTGCTATATCTCCATTTTATTCCCATAGTATTGATTGCTTCTTCATAGTCACATTTAAAACTGCTCATTCCTACCTTCATTTATTTGACTGAGAGTTCCATGAGACTAACTTGGTAGACATTTATTATATTTTTTAAGTTAAAGAAAGCCTGCAAAACATTGAACAAATTTAGCAATCAAAGTACTTAAGTATGAGATTTACATATAAAACCTAAAGTAAACAAATTTATTTTGTGTTTCAATGGGAAACAAAAGAAAGTGTCTATCTCAACCACTTTATAATGTCCTATTAATTGAGAAGAGTATAAAGGTAAGGAAACCATCATTTAATAGCAGAATGTGTGCCAATCCATTTGGTGTTTTATATTCATCATTCTCACACTGAATGTATAAGGTGGGTGCTGTTATGTCAAATTAGCACTTTTAAAGAGAGAGATGCAGAGAAGTCAAGTAACTTGCTTAAGATCATGTAACAATTAAATGACCTAGCCAAGATTTGAACCTCGGATTGTGTGATCGAAAACTCATGGTGTTTCTTCTGTATCTTCCTATCTTATATCTAGGAAGGTTAACGAGACATACATGTATACTAAGGAAGCAGGGACTGCTGATTACTTGCATAACATTTTAAAATATGATTTTCTATTGGCCTCCCTTTATTTTGGTGCTTAACATTTAATATCTAAATTAAGAAGACATTATCTTTATATCTTTCGTAATGCACCACTTTCAGAGTTATCCATCAAACCAGTTGGAAGTCGTTGTTAGAAATTCCTAGAGACTGCTGATAACAGTGCTAAATATCTTTTCATTAGTTCCATTCATTAGCTTCAATAACTGAATATATTAACTAGACCTCACACGTATATTAATCCCATAACTTATTAATGCTCAGAATAAAATTCAATTGTTACATTTTTAAATACATGACTTGATTGCTGAATGAAATAGAAGTGCTATTTAAGGATTTTAAACACAAATTGTGACGGTTGAATGTTGCCTCTTTAATTTTTTTTCAAATAAATACTAAAACCACTTTTTACAAACACTTATATACAAAGAGACACGACTTCAAAACAATTTAACTGTGATTTAGTAGGGGTAGAAAAAAATAAAGCTCTCGTTACAGGCAGTATAAAAATTTTTTAAGAGTCTTACGAATAAAATGGCCTCCTTAAAGTAACTTGTATAAAATTTGATCTACTGATAAAATTTAATTCTGCATTTCTTCTTTAGATACTCAGTGTTAAGTGAAAACTGATTTATATTTAGAATGAGTTATGACAAAGTACCAGTTGAATTTTTAACAGACCTAGCATGTAGTTCCTATCCTAAGTATTTTGTCTGCTTCTTGCTGACTGACCAGCTGAGTACCAATGGCATCACCTGCAGCTTGCCTGGCCTGTTGACTAGAGGCAAATGCATAGAGCAGCTGCTACTAAGGAGGTGAGACCACAGAAGTGC